AAAAAAAAAAAAAAAAAAAACACTCCAGAAGGAAGATGGAAGTGACATCTGCCATTTGATGTTTTTCTCCTCAAGTGCCTCTATCAGGCACTGCTATTATTCCATATATGGCATTTCTGTCATGTGTATGTGTTGGGGCATTTATGAGTATGTGTTCAAGTGCATGTGTGTACACACACATGTGGAGGCTTGAGGACAATTTTGGGTGTCATCCTCAAGAACACCATCTATCTCCTTAAAGATAGGGTCTCTCTTGAACCTGCACCTCACCAACTGGGCTAGACTGGCTGGCCAGGGAGCCACAAGAATCTTCCTGTCTCTGCCTCCGCAGCTCTGGGATTACAAGTGCAGTTGCCTTCAAGCTCTGGCATTTTCCATCAAGCTCTGGCATTTTCCATAGGTTCTAGGCATGGAACTCAGGTCCTTCTGCTTACAAACCAAATACTTTACTGTGCCATGCCCCTAACTGAATATAAGGAACTAACTGAATATTATTTTCACACTTTCATTTTAAGTGTGAAAATCCCTGCGTTCATCCACCTTGTCGTCTACTATATGCTGACAATGGATTTAGACATAAAAACACAGATATATAAATCATAGTATTTCAAATCATGACAAGTGCTATGAGAAAAATGTAAAATGTAAAGAAGATGGGGAATGCCAGATAAAGAGAGGTGCAGCTGCCATTTTTTAAAGATTTATTCTATTATTTATGTGTATGCATGTGTGCAAGTGCCCAAGGGGACAGAAGAGGGTGTTGGATATTTTGATGCTAAAGTTATAGGCGTCTGTGAGCCACTCAGCATGGGTGCTGAGAACTAACCTGGACCCTGTGGAAGAGCAGCAAGCACTCTTAACCACTTACTCTCTCCAGCCTTGGTATCTGTGATTTTTTGACACATGAAACAGTATACTTATTATGTGACCTAGTTCAAAGGCCTAAGGGAGACACAGTGTACCACAGCGAGAACATCTGGGGAAACACATTACACACAGCAGCAATGGCAAAGCTACAGTTCGCCGTTGGAGCTTACCAGACTCATAGAAGGTATGGAAGGGGCCTGTAGGCTTTGAATGGAGTAGCAGAGGGAAAGGTTGACACACAAGGTCTTCTCTGTGATTGTATGCTTTTACTTTGAAAGAAATGAGAAGCAGAAGATTGTGGAGTACAGAATGCCACACATGTATAGCTATGTTATTTTCATGAGGTGGTGGTTAAGTGTAAACTTAAGGGCTACAACAATGAAATCAGAGTATGAGCTCAGACATTAAAGAGATTGGAAGTGGTCACCTATATCGTTAAAAGAAAAGTTAAACAAACTGAACACAATAACTTGTCATGGAGTCATCAGTTAACTTCTATAATAGGAACAACCAGCACTCTGAAATCTGTAGATATGGGCACATCCAAAGATCTGCAACAAAACTGAGCTTTTCTGAAACAGGAGCCACAGCAATCAAAACTATTACGAACAGTTAACTGGCAATTTTGACCTGCTGATTTGTTTCCCTTTCTCCTGGCTCTGGAGAGGAGGAGAGGAAAAAATCTCACGGAATTCTCCTACAGCATAGTCCATAAGAAGATCTAACTTCAGCCTGGTGTGGTGGTGCACGCCTTTAGTTCCAGCACTTGGGAGGCAGAGGCAGGAGGATCTCTGTGAGTTCAAGGCCAGCCTGGTCTACATAGTGAATTCCAGGGCAGCTGGGGCTACAGGGAGACCCTGTCTAAAAAAATTAAATTAAATTAAATTAAAAAAAAGATCTACCTTCAGCTCTAGGTGTGATGGTTCACGTCTTTAATTTCAGCACTCAGGAGGCAAAAGCAGACAGATCTCTGTGAGACTGAAGCCAGCGTGGTCTATATAGAGAATTCCAAGCCAGCTGGACCTACCTAGAAACCCTGCCTCACAAAAACAAAACAAAATACAAAAGGTCTACCTTTCAATAAAAAGGCTTTACTGAAGTGTGTCCAAGTAGATGGGGCAAAAAAAGACATCTTCATCTTCCAGTCACTTGGGGCCTCTCTGTCTATGTGTAGCAGTAATAGTAAAAGAAGAGGCCAGGAACTTAAAAGGGAGGGATTTCTTGAGGAGAGGGGCAGGAGGAGCTGGAGGGGGAAACTGAATGGTAAAAATGATGTAAATATAGTACTCATGTATGAAATGTTCAGAAAGAGTTTTAAAATAAAACCAGGTATGATAGTCACCTTTTAAGACTCAGTAATCAGGAGGTAGGCCAGGCTCAGGGGACTTGTCTTACTTCTGTTTGGTTATTGCATTCATTTAACTAATCTCTTTTGGAGAGCCTAAATCCTATGCTACTTGTCAAGTGCTGGGAAAAAGGTATGGCAAGAAAATGCTTAATAGATAGTTAGTTGACTGTAATGATGAAGAAATAACAAACATTTTAACTATGCCCCCAAAACACTGTGTTTGGAATCATAACCATCAGCCATCAAAGTAGTTGAAAAGCTGAAAAATGTGTTTTTACTTTCTCTGTGTCTAAGACGGGTATTTTGACCTTGGCATCTGAGTATTTCCCTCCCTGGCTTTTGAAGTAATATAATTTGGCTGGATATTTGACTTCCATTAATAACAGTTCCCAGTCTTTCTCATAGTTACATTCAACAATGGTCTCTGAACAAACAGTGTGTGCAAGTTCCATGGTATGTCTAAAAATAGGAACACCCACATGTGAACCTTCCTCCCCCTTTTCCTATCAGCTGAAGTGCTGATGTGAGAGTGAGTCATCTTGGACCACTTGGGTGGGGTGACCCCACTGAGATGGCAGGAGAACAAACAAGAAAAAACAAGGATCCCAAAAGGCCACAGTGCCATCTTATCAGTTCTGAGCTGCATACTTTCAGATTGCTACATGAAAGAATACAGCTTCTCTCTTACCAAAGCCCTGGTTATCTGAACCCTTTGTAACAGTAGCTTAATGTGAAATTTTAGTCAAAAATTTTAATAAGTCTTCAGAACAGCACTGTCATGTAAATAATATGCTAGGGGACTATAATTCCTTACATACATCAGTTTTAAAAGATAAGAAAATGGGCTGGAGAGATGGCTCAGAGGTTAAGAGCACTGAATGCTCTTGTAGAGGACCTGGGTTCAATTCCCAGCACTCACATGGCGGCTACAAACTGTCCTTAACTCCAGTTCCAGGGGAATCCAAAATCCTCTTTTGACCTCCGTGGCATTGCACGACACGGGTGCACTTACTTACATGCAGGCAATACACTCATACACATAAAATAAAAATAATAAAATATTTTTTTAAGTTAAGAAAAAGATAAGAAAATAGAGGCTGGAGAGATGTCTCAGCAAATCAAGAGCACTGACTGTTCTTGCATAAGACCCAGAATCGAATCCCAGCACCCTCACAGCAGCTAACAACCATTGGTAACTCCAGTTCTAGGGGATCTGATGCCCTCTTCTGTCCACTGTGGGCATTGCCTGACATGGGGCACTTACACATATGCAAACAATACACTCATACATGCAAAATAAAAATAAATGAATCAAAAAATACAAGGAAATAAACAAGTAATATACACATGTTCTATGCTCATATCTGCCACCAAAGAAAAGCTAGTTGAAATGCATTTTGCAAAAACTGCAAAAAAATTTTTTTGTTGAGCAGGGTCTTATGAGTCCTGGCTGGCCTGAAACTCAGAGATCCAACCCTGCCTCTTGCCTCCCGAATGCTGAGATTAAAGTCATGCACCACAATGACCAATTGACAATATTTATAAGATATGAGTTCAAGGAATATTCACTACATAGAAAAGCCTCATGGCCATGATTTTTCAAAGGAAATTAAAGAATTACATGGCATGGACTACCCTAACTCTATTGCTTCTATTCCCATTTAAAATAAATCTATGCAATCTACTAAAAGTTATAAACAGATATAATACCTTGGCTTAAAGAGTTGTGTATGTACTCAACTAAAGTCTTGGCATAATTTGAGCTAATTAGACAAGGATGCCAAATTCACTTCAGGGTATCTTGATCTTTGGAAACGGATCCTAATATATACAAATAGATCATTTTCATACATTTGGAAGCATTTCCCCCTTTGATACTTGAATATCGATGCAGAATTGTGTTGGAAAGTGTAGGAAAAAAAAAATCCCGGTTCAAATGCTGCACAAATAGCCATAATTTAAAGACCAAGTAAAAATGACTTATAAAGAACAGAGATTATCTGGCACTATTTACTATGCCATGTTTCTGTAGCAAAAAAAAATACACAATTTCAACTCCATTTGTCTAGTTTCTAGCAGTATTGGAATGCTGCAAGCTGGGGTAACAGCTTTTGCCTTATCACTTTTGCTTCAGGGGAAGCTAGTTTCTGCTATGGCTATCGATTTTGAGATTTGCTAAAATAAATTTCTACACAAAAAGCAATAAAGAAAGGCACAATCAATCTTCTCATTCTATTTTGAAAAGATTTTTTTCCCCTCGAGTGACTTAAGAAATCTTAAATTAAAAATGGACTAACTGCTTGGCAACCCCAGTCTACGTAGCAAAGCTCACTGACATCTAAGACACATAAGGAGACTCAGGGGCAGCTTACTTCTAAGTCTTATGGTATTTCCTCAGGCAAAGCTTGGAAAACAAGAACTAAGTGAGATAAACTGACTTTCATTATATGATGAAAGAGATAAATGTTATTAGTATTTTAAAATGTGTGCACCAAACATTTTTCTGAACTCTTATGACAATCAAAATTCTATACAACACAAGTTCTAATTCTTCTGTGTAAATATAATCAAAAACAGGGAAAGATATTTTCCTATTCCAAGCATGAAATGCTGGATATGCATTTAAATTGGTTTTATAGCACATCTCTTAAAAACTAAAAATGAAAGGTACAGGTTAAACATAAAAGGTTCTCTTCTGTAACACTGTGTTTTAAAGCAAGAAACAACTACATAAAAAGGCTGAAAGTGTAAAGTGTCCAGGCAAAAGCATAAAATAAAACATTACCTTTCGCTGGGTTTACTTTTATCCCTGACCTATACAGCATCTCCTCATTCTGCCAGTCTCCATTCCTGATCGCAGTCTTGAGTCCATAGAAAACAATTAATGTGGCTGTAGCATAAAAAATCAAGCTCTTGAGAAACCGCTTTTGGACCTTGACATAAAGGGCTCTGGCACCCACTGTGATCAGGAGGCAGAAGCCCATGCTAGGAATATATAATACACGCTCTGCAATTACAAAGCCGACATAGAAAAACAGGTTCGTGGCGGGAATAAAGGGTATTATCAACAAAGATAAGGACAGAACGACAATGTTCTCGGTGGAAGGGAGCTGTGTTTTTTGTGATACGCTATTTTTAATGCCATTCTCTACTTTGGATGCAAAGCTGGGCTTAACCTCTGAGTTCCGGTACTCCACATCTGAGTGGCAGCTATGGCCATTTGCATTTTGCTTGCCATTTGTCACAGCTTTCCCATTGCATTCTCGTTCTATGCTTGGGGTCTTCAAACCACAGTAGGCAAGGAGGAGGAGTCCAGTATAGAAGGCCACGGTGTGTAGATTTCTCCAGTCACAAATTGTTTTGAGGAGAGGCACGGCATCCATCGACCAGTCAAAGCTGAGGGTGTCTGGGCAGAGCAACAGCCAGAGGTTCTTGGTGGGCAAATAGAAGAAGGTGAGCATACGAGCCAGGAGGCTGTCTGAGTCAGCTGCTGGGTTGTCAGAGTTGGAAAAGCTTGGTGGTTTGTTTCCCATCCAGTAAAACCGGGCACCCAAAAGGGAGGTCCCCCACAAAGATAACAAGCTAATGCTGAGAAAAAGAGACAAGTTCTTCCTCTGAAACCAAAAAAAAAAAGGAGAAAAATAAACATCATCATACTGCAAGGGAACATTTCACTTAACATTCAGAGATGAAATACATTTTTAAATGGGCACTTAAAATACAGCATTTTGTGTCAAATACATGACTTCATTTTGATCTCCTTTTAAATAAGCTTAGTAAAATTTCCATCTCAAAAAAATTGAAGAATCCTTGTTTGTATATACTTTAGATGAGTATCTTTTCTTTCTTCTCTTTCCTTACTAAAATATCAGCAACCAGAGCATCAATGTTTTGACCGCTACAAAATGAGTTCAATGTATTTGCCTTTCAGAATTAGTGTCAGGTCAAAGGATAGTGCAATGTTACAGTACTTGGCACTGTGTGAGATACTGTAGGCACCTAATTACTGTCTTCTTTCATCTTATAATTTAGATTTCAAGGACAGAACAAAGAGCAGTCACATCTGCTCAGATATAAGGCAGCAAGGGCCTTCAGTGACACCCACACCAATCTCAAAGCCACCTTCTTGAACTTCCTTGCAGAAAGTGTAAATCAGGCTTTCAATAGCTGACCCATGCTTGTCTCTGACACCAGGGACAATGTCTAATAACATTCCTCACAAATACAAAATTTTTCATGTTCATGGTTTCTAAAAATAAAATAACTTTAATAATGGGATTCCTTAAGAGAAAGGGGATTATTAAAGGACAAAGGACATCCATATTCATGAGAACTTTCTGGAAAATTCCTTTAACCCAAGTGAAACACAACCAAGTGTGGTGCATGACTACAATGTCAGCACTAGGGAAGTGAGGTAGAAAGAACACAAGTAGGACAGCCAGAGAGCTGAACAGTCCGAACCTGTCAGTGAGACTTCCAGGGGAGGGATGTAGCTCAGTGGTAGTATGCTTGTGGAGCATGGTCATGGCCCTGAGTTCAATCATCAGTACCCAGGAAACAAATAATAAAAACATGTAGTGACATGTAACAATCTAAGTCCAGAATAGGCAGTAGAAGGAGAAAAAAGGGCGGGTTCCATACCCCAAACACTCATGATTTCTTATGGGAAGCATCTCAACATCATGTAGACTGTTTTTTCTGTATGATTTAAGATATTATTTGAGATCTTACAAAAGATACTGAGTTTCTAAAGCAGTTTGTAAAGGACAACATAGCTCAAGCAGGTACAATGCCTATTTAAACACTCCCTGGTATTGTATGCAACTACTTCATGGGTATCTCAGGCCTTTTCTGAAAGGCCCCACCTCAGATTGCTAGGGGCCCCAGAACTGCTCACAGGACAAGCTCCATCTCCACTCCCACCCTCACCAGCTCAGCAAGTTTCACTGTTTTTATCAGTGCCAAGGCATATCAATGACTGACTCCACACTACAAGTCCTGAAGTAAGAGGTTCTCACATACCTGTTCTAAACAAAATGATGAGGTCTAAAAAGGGAAAATGAGCAGCACTATGAAAGGGACACTGACTCAGTTAATGTTAAAATGCTTCCAACAGAAGAGCCTCTGCGACCTTGGGATCCAGTATGACTTTTGAACTATCAGGCCGAACTTGAAAGGGCAAATTCCATCCCATTCAACGGTTTCTCATTAAATGTTATAAAAAGTTGTCACCTACATGAAATGTGGTCCTAATAAATCCACACCTCACTCATCCTGTGACTCTTTTTCTTGTTTTTAATACTTTAGAAAGGTTTAAATTCTTATTCAGTCCCTATGCATAAAGTCAAGTTTAGGAAAACTTCAGTGAGCCAAGACACCATAAGATTTGCTTATATTTTATATACCTTTTTATATTCTTTGGGCTCAATAAATAACAATGCTCCAGCCTCAGCTTGTAGATGCACAGATGCAGGCCCCAATACCAGCGGCCTTAGAATCTCTTTGCTCTTGGCCCAGTGTATCAAATTCTGAGACAGAGCAGGCACAAGCATCCCAATTAGCTGACAACAAAGACTTAAAGGTTAAAATCAGCAAAAAAAAAAAAAAAAAGATAGAAGAATGAACAAAAGAAAAAAAGGAAGGAAGGAAAGAAGAAAGACAAAAGGAAAAAGAAAGAGAGACCACAAGATGACAAAACACAAAGAGGCTGGACTTACACATGTGACAACCTTAAATGTGATTGGAACATAACCTTTGATAGAGAGCATTAGAAAAAGAATTGCCATTCATTAGCTAAAACATATTTAGTTAATTCAACACCTCACCAAGGCTGCTGAATGTTACACTATTTCTATGTTCTGTATACACCCTGGTCATGCAAAGGACAAGAGGCCCTGTATTCAAGTTCCATATACTGTTTCAAATTCAGAATGTCTTGGGAGGACTAGGAAACATATCAGTCTCAACTCAGCTGAAACCATGAATGCCCTGATGTAGGAAGGAATGCTGCATTAGTGTCCACGATGCAGCCTACACTGATAATCACTCCATCTGTATTTGTACAAGTCTAATTCCTAGTCCCACACTGAAAATGCTATGACTCAAACCCTCATTACACAGAGCTTTAAGGCAGATTTTTCACATTTAAATAAAGCATAATATATAATGCTCCCAGGGTTAGAAACAAACTGAATTCTTAATAAATGTGAGACAAGAAGGCCAGGTGATAAACTATGTAAGGTCATTATGAATAGTAGATTTCAAGGGTGCAGTAGCCAAGTATTACTGCAACACAGAGAAGATATGATTTGAATGTAGAAATGTTTAATCTCTTCATTATTAATCACAAAACATAAGCAAAGATAGTCAATCTATCATTTAATAATAAGGTAAAATGAATATTTCAAATAAATCAAACTGAAAAATGTTAAAGAATTGAAAAGTCATTGAAATTGTGTTAACGGTATAATCACACCGAGTAGGGAAAACAGCTATTGCACAGCTTTGGTAGAAAACTTGGAAGTCTATAGCAATATGAATAGTCTACAGCAACTATAGTTTGGTAATAGGTATTTGTTACAGACAAGCTAATTAAAAACATACAAACCTAAATATAAAGACACTAATGAAGTGTTGCTTATAAAAATCAAAAAGCAAAAAGAGAAGAAATTTCTAAAAAATTTCAAGAGAGCACTATAGTAATAAAACTCTGCTCTTATGACTTGAATTCACAAGGCAATTAAGACTAAAAATTACATATAAAATACACAAACATACACAATCAACATAAAATCCTATGTAATAACTGAGGCAAACAAGTCAGTACATAGCAACACGGCCACTGAAAATCAAGTTGCAAAATATGCATATAATAGAAACATAAAGCCCAAACAGGAACAAAAAAAAAAACAAAAAAAACCATGTTTTCACACATCTTAGTCTAGATTATTTCACATAATATGATGACCCCCAATTACATCCACTTTCTAAAAAACAACACAATTTCACTACTCTTGATGGCTGAATAAAAGTCCATTGTGAATATAAACCACATTTTCTTTCCCCATTCACATGCTGACAGGACTGAGGCTGATTTCAGGACCAGGCTACATAGTGAGTTCCAGGCTATTTCACTGTGGTGAAAATGGATGTAATAAACTGAATTTACAGGAAAAACCACAAGGGCTGACAATGTCCTCCCTGAATCTGTGTTTGCTGGGTTGAAAAATTGTTAAATGAAGTAACAGACTCAGAAAAACAAATGACGTATGTTCTCCCTCATATGTGGCTCCTAGCACCAAATCCTTCTAAATTCCAGGTCCTTTTCAAGATGATGCTATACAGCAGTCCCTTCTCCATGAAATAACTACCATTATCACCGACTTTGGCTGAGCCTAATTGCTAAACATAATCACAATTGGGCTTGTTGACGGTTGTCATCATTCATTAAAGGAGTGCCAAGCAGGGTCACTGGACCCTCACCTGAGTATCCAGCCATTCTTCCCAGTCAACTAGTCCAGCCTTGGAAGACAAAAGAAAAATGAGGAAGAACCCAATAGAGGTATGCTTTTGGAAGCCCTTGTCAAGAAACTACAATGGAATCTCATATGAACAGTTGAAAATTGCCCTGTTCTGATATTTTTCTGCCCTGTCTAGA